CAGAGTGTGGAAAAAAAAAAAAAACGCGCACGTTGTCACTGCGCAGGCGCGGGCCAGGGCCCGCGCCGGGCCAGCCCGGGAACGGGCAGCCGGGAGCCAGAGGGGAAGTGATGGCCCACCAGCGCCGTGCTCGCTGGGAACTGTAGTTTTCGTTAAGAAACACGCGTCTTCTTTTGGGTGTCATGGCTTGGCAGATCCGCCAAAACAGGCAAATGGCATTACACAATGAGTATTTATGCTTCCTGCTGCCACCAAAAGGAAGTTCACTGCTATGCTAAAAGTTTAACAAAGAACTCTATAGAGAAGCCCAAATCTCACAACAAAAAGAAAATTCCCTACTTGCCTACCAAAGTAGGCTTAAAGAAGGGGTACCCTATTGTTTCCCATGAACAGTTTGTCAGTCCAATACTTTATTCCTTTCCCAAAAGGGAATTTTAAAATAATGGAACTTTTTCTGGACTTAAAACATTCAGCAATATAATTCAAAGTGTCATATTCACACAAAGTACAATTCTACATCCTTTAAAACTGAAGAAAAAAGTTGCTAAAAGATAGGTTCAGTGCTTTGAGATTTAAAAAAGAATGTAGTGTAAGTGACTGAAGAAAAAACAGTTTCTACAATTAAGTCGTCAAATTCAGCAGCTGAGAAGGGTATGCTCTACTACCAAAAAAGAAGATGCAAAATGCTTGATACTTTCTTGTGGCTTACCAGAACCAATATCCGGTGTCATGCGTCACTACTGCTAGTCAAAAAAAAAAAAAAACACCCTCGATATCGTTACAGAAAAGCTTTATCCTGCCCACAAAGTTACACCAACTCCGCAGCACCTACAGCATCTGCCTGCATTTCCGAGTTTCCATTTGTACTCTTAAAAGTCACACTCTGAAGCACAGTCACGGTTCTCAAATATCAATAACAGGCGACTTTCTAACAGAGTCAAAACTGCATCAAGAACAAACTAATAAATGTATACGTATTTGTATACACATCTGAGTAAGACCTTTACTCTCTACTTTTTCATTTATAATCCTAGGTAAGAACATTTTGTTGATTTAAAAGATGTATACACACACCTAGCTTCACATAAATCATAATCCCACCAAATACAGCAGAAGGGTGTTAACACACAATTCCAGGACCAATAGATGGCGAACTAGAGCCCAAATCTGAGGATTCTGTAATCTAAATTAACAAAATGAAAACACCAAATAAGGCAAACCCCTTTAGTGTGTACTTAAATATTATATTCAAAGACATCTGTGAAATAATTAATCTCACTACTGCTCCAATTTAAAAGCTTAACTGTCAGATTTAATTAGGCCCCCAAATAGCCAAAGTTATAAAATATATTTTTCCAGTGGATTAGGAGAAAGATGGAAAATACTTATTTCTAAAACTATGCCTAGGGGCCAGCAGGTGTTGTGCCGGTTGAGGAGGGGGGACTCCCCACATGGCCAACCACGTTTTGAGTCTCGGACCTGGCAGCTTGCTTTCTCATTTTCCCCTTGTCTCTCTCTGGTCAAATAATAATAATAATAATAATAATAATAAATAAAATTAAAATAATTCCTTAAAAAAATGCATCTGGGAAAATAAATTTCAACTTTCCCTTTCTCTTGTGGCTTAGCCCAGCAGTTAGGAGTTCAAAATGTTTATGGAATTTAAATTGGTCAATGTGTTTTACATTTTTTTTCTTTTTTTTTGGAGACTTTTTTGCTACAGGGCATGTGTGCTCCTCAGAAAGAGACAGAAAGCGAGAAATCACCCCTGGGGGGATTGGAGGGAAGGCCATGCCATAATCACTCCTCCTCCATTCTCCTCTCAGGATCTTGGGCACGCACGCACATGCGTCCAGCATGAGTTTAAGTCACCAGGCCTGGGACTCGAACCACGGTCAACTACATGGGAGTTCAGTGACATAGCCATTACGCCAACTGCTGGTTCCTGTTTCATATTCTTATCTAAAAACTAGATGTCATTCTGTTTAGGCACCAATTTTTTCTTAATTATTTATTTATGTATTTTAATTTGACCAGAGAGGGACAGAACGTGTAGGGTGGGGGGGTAAGAAAGCAAGTCGCCAGGTCCAGACTGGAACCATGGTTGGCCACGTGAGAGTCCAGTATCCTTTATTACCACGCCACCTACCGGCCCCATAGGCAACAATTTTCACAAACAAGATATTTCAAAAGTTAAGTCACTATGGATACAAATATATTTTCTTAAAATTTCCCCCAGAGGGGCAAGCAGGTGGCATGTAGTTAAAGTTAAGGGTGCTCGATTTCCAAATGGCCAACCGTGGTCTGAGTCCCAGACCTGGAGCTTACTTTCTCTCTTTCTTTCTCTCTCTCTCTCTCTCTCTCTCTCTCAGTCTGTTCCTCTCTGGTCAAATTAAAATAAATAAAAAGCGAAAAAAAAAAAAAAAATTCCCCCAGAAAAACATTGTGGATGTCAAGGCTATGGACACAAATATATTTCCTTAAAAATTTTCCCCCAGAATAACAGTCTGGTTAAAAACATCCATCCACACATACCCTCACTTCTCAAATCATTCTTGGAATAATCATGGTTGACTCTCTAATAACCATCCTATCCTGATTAGTTTTAATGCATTCTTTTTTTTTTTTTAAGAGACTTTCGCAATAGTGCACTGGAGAGAGTGCAAGATAGAGACACAGAAAGCAAAAGATCTTCTCCAGTCTCTGCTCAGGATTTTGGGCACGCACACACATGAACCCAGTGTGAGTTTCAAGTTGCTGGGTCTGGGACTCAAACTGCAGTTAGCCATGTGAGAATCCAACGACGTAACTACTACACCATCTGCTGGTCCCTTAACCCATTCTTTTTGACTGGTTAGGAAAACATATGGCATGGGTTGGGAGCCCACTGGAAGGCCTACAAGAGGAAACTTGTGAGAAAACTTCTTAAATCCTGAAGATGAAACGGAGGAAATAATAATACCCCTTCATCATACAGTGATACCTCAAAACTGCTAACAGTTACCATGTAGCAAGCCTGGAGATGCCGCCAACATTACAGAGAGCAGAGTGGAGAGCTGGCAAGAACCCTGGTCCTCCGAGACTGTACTAAGCTTCTATATCAACAAATCCCAACATCTGCATGAATTCTAGACTTCCAGCTATGTTACAACAATGTAACGATAAATATTTCTGATTGTTTAACACAATTTGACTTTGACTTTTTATACCCCAAGTCAAAAAAATTTTAATTTATCGTATTTTTATAATATTACTCTATAACTATTTATGATATTTTCTATGACTAATCTTATTATTTTTTTAAAGAATTCTTTAACTTTTATTTATTTATTTTCTTTAGACGGGGTGGGGGGAGAGGGAGAGAGAAAGCAAGCAGCCAGGTCCGGAACTCGAACCGTGGTCAGCCATATGGGAGTCCAGTGCCTTTAACCACCACACCACCTGCCAGCCCCTAATCTTATTATTTATCCCTGAGAAAAGACCTTTCATCCTATACACAATTCTGTTCCCATTCATATCTTTATTTTATGTTCTCTCTGCCGATAAAGAAGATTATCCCTCCTTGTCACCATTCCTTGTCATCTCTTGCCTCCAATCCACCTCCAGCTCATTTTATATATTCCACCACACGTATAACGTCATCAGAAAAGTCATGATACATTTTTGCATAGAAAAATATGTCATGACTTTCCTGATGACCTAATAGTTGGCACTATATTGGTTAAATGCTTTGCTTAATTCTTTGTATATCAGTCTTACCTTCTCAAGCCACCCTGCAAGCTCTTGAATGCAAGAACTATGGTTGTTTCAATTTCACATCACCCTAATACATACAATAAACACATTCCAAAAAGGCATTCTCGAGCTTCCCTACCAAAGACCTTTGAACAAGTCAGAAATCCCTGAGTAGAACATTCTATATAACAAGTTCAGTAATTCATCTATCCAAACGAATTTTTTCTTTTTTATTTGCCAGATGATACATATACTCACCAGAGAGAGAGAGAGGAAGAGGGTGAAAGCAATCACCACTGGGATGCTGTCATGCCACAATCCTATCTCCTCCATTTCTCTG